AAAAAAAAAAAAAAAAAAAAGAGTTCCAAGTTTAAGGAAATTAATGTAGGTTATTAAATCATAAGAAAATTTTAAACCACATTGAATGTTTTGAACTTGATCATAAGGGTAATGATGAGCTATTATATTTGAGGAGCACAGCAGATACGTTATATTTCATTTCCTCCTTAGAATGATCCTTGTTCACAGTGTGGTAAATAGATTGCTGTGTCAGACTAGTCACACTACTCTGAGTAGAAGATGGTGGCTAAGGGGATGAGAAGCGGATGAGTTTGCAAGATATTTAAGCAGTAGAAGCAATAGACCTTAACTGATCAGATACATGAGTTATGAAGGGAGATAATGGTCAATTTTCTAATTCAAATGGCAGAGGTGGAGCGCCTCTAAAAACAGTCTATCAATTTTTTTTTTTTGAGACAGAGTCTCATTATGTTGCCCTCCGTCAAGTGCTGTGGTGTCACAGCTCACAGCAACCTCAAACTCTTGAGCTTAAGTGATTCTCTTGCCTCAACCTCTCGAGTATCTGGGCCTGCAGTTGCCAGCCACAACACTGGGCTATTTTTTGGTTGCAATTGTCATTGTTTAGCAGGCCCAGGCCGGGCTTGCTGGTGTATGTGACTGGTGCCTGACTCACTGAGCTATTGGTGCTGAGCCTCTATCAGATTTTTTATTACAGTTATTTTTGGTGTATTATATCAAAGAAATGAGCCACTGTTAATTCCACATCATATTATTTTTTTTTCCTTGAGACAGAGTCTTACTCTGTTGCCCTAGGATAGACTGCCATGGCATCATCATAGCTCACAGCATATCTCCAGCTCCTGTGCTCAAGTGGTCATCTTGCCTCAGCCTCTTGAGTAGCTGGGACTTCAGGTGTGTACCACAATGCCTAGCTGGTTTTTATATTTTTAGTAGAGATGGGGTCTCACTCTTGCTTATGTTGGTCTCTAACTCCTGGGCTCAAGCAATTTACCTGCCTCAGCTTCCCAGAGTGCTGAGATTATAGGCATAGGCTACCATGCCTGGCCTGCTTATTTATTTATTTATTTTTGAGACATAATCTCCCTCTGTTGCCCATGCTAGAGTTCCCTGGCATCAGCCTAGCTCACAGCAACCTCAAACTCCTGGGTTCAAGCAGTCCTGCCTCAGCCTCTTGAGTAGCTAGGACTACAGGTGCCCACCACAACACCTGGCTAAGTTTTCTATTTCTAGTAGAGATGGTGGTCTCTACTTACTCTTGTTCAGGCTGGTCTCAAACTCCTGAGCTCAAGCAATCATCCTGCCTCAGCCTCCCAGAGTGCTAAGATTACAAGCATGGGTTACCATGCCAAGCCTTTGAATTGATTTTTGATATGTTGAGTTTGAGAGGGTTCTGTAAGGTATGCAGGTACCAGATAGGCAGAGAGAAATTCAAATCTGGTGTTCAAAATGCCTGGCCTGAAAAATAAGGAAATCATTGCATAAAGATAATATCTGAAGTCACAAACATACTCTATATTATCCTTTTCCAGTTTCTGCCCTATCATTCTCCTACCATTCAATGTCTTACTTTTTGAAAGAATAATTTTTGCTCATTGTCTCGATTTTCCTGTGGCAGACTAACTCCCCAGAACTCCCCATTCCATACCAAAATTGTCTTCAGCAGAGGTCACCAATGGCATCTGTAATTTGAATCAAGTGAGTATTGTCAGGTCTTAGACTAATCCACTTTCTTGTAGTATTTAACACTCTTGAGGTCTGCCTTCTTATAATTTCACTTATAAATCAAGGAATTCTTCCTATTCTTTACAATTATTATCTCATTTACCTCAAAACATCTGAGAAGTAGATATTACTTTCATGTACAAATGGGTAAACTAAGTCTCAAAGACGATGAATAACTTACCCCAGGTCATACAAGTTGGAAGTGACAAGGCTGTATTGGAACTCAGGCCTGTCTGAGGCCCAGGCTCTTTCTACCACTCCACACTTACAGAAATAGATCTCCTTGGCCTGATGTATACTGCTGTTTTTTTTTTTTTCTTTTTTCCTCCTACTTCTCTGGCTATTGCTTCTTCTTTTCCTTACACATAGGTATTTTCCAGGATTTCAGCCCCAAATAATCTTTTCTCAGCTATACCTAAGTATCACACTGAACCTACTATAAATATCAAACAGCTCTTAGACTTTTCTCTACAGGAAAAACCATTTTACTATTTCCTTATCTGACTAATTTTTACTTGTCTTTTAAGACTCAGGAGGACTCACCTCCAGGAATCCTTTTCTAACTTGCTTCTGGAAATTAGGTGCTTTGCCACTGTGCTCTGCTAGCATTTTGTGCATATGCTCATCATGGCACTTAACCCACTGAAGTACAGTTTCTTGTATACTTAAGATTTCTTGAGAAGCAGAGAGCTATAGAGACTAGAGAATTATCTTTTATCTCTGTATTCCCATCAGGCACATAATAGACAATCAAGTAAATTAGATGAGTTATGAATATTATTATATTCTTCTAGTTAATTCTGATATTCAGTTTAGAGAACACATAAGTGGTTATATTTATTTGGTATCTTTTTTTCCTTCAACATTTTGAGAATTTTTAAATCTTACAGAAAAGTTAAAAGAATACTATGATTGGCCAGGTGCATTGGCTCACACCTGTAATCTCAGCACTCTGGGAGGCCAAGGTAGGTGATTGCTTGAGCTCAGGAGTTCGAGACCAATGTGAGCAAGAGTGTTCTACCAAAAATAAGAAAAACTAGCCAGGTAAGGTGGTACATGCCTGTAGTCCCAGCTGCTCAAGAGGCTGAGGCAAGAGGATCACATGAGCCCAAGCATTTGAGGTTGCTGTGATGCTGCCATAGCTCTCTACCCAGTGTGACAGAGTGAGATTCTGTCTCGAGAAAAATAGCATAATTAATATCTGTGTACCCATCATATAGCAGCAGTTGTTGATGTCCTGCTGTGTTTGTGTACTCTCTCTCTTCATATACATGCCTTTATTCCCCCCAAAACATATGAAAGTAAGTTTTGCATGCATTTTCTGTGAATAAGAATATTCTCTTTTATGACCACAAAACTTATCCCATCTGAGAAAATTCTATATCAAGAGTTAGCAAGCTTTTTCTAGAAAAGGTCAGATAATAAATGTTTTTGGCCTTATGAGTAATATGATCTCTGTGACAACTACTAAACTCTTGTCACTGTAGTGAAAAAGCAGATGTAAATGATATTTAAACAAATAGGTAAAGCTGTATTCCAGTAAAGAAAAACAGAAATAGGCTTCTTTCCTGAACCAGCACTGGGAAGGGGAGGGAACCAGAGTAGAAGTAGTGGGGATTGAGGAAAATACAACACGAGAAGACACAGAGATGAAAGATGGGATCAGGAGATCTGTCTGAGCTGATGCCTGCAGCCAGCACCAAAGCACAAAATCAGCTTTATTTTATGGTATTTTGACAGGGTTCATTACAGAGAAGTAGCATAGACAATATTGGGAAGTAGCATAGAGAGAAGCCATATCTTTGGTATTATAGCATGATTAGAAAATGTAAATGACTTTAATAAAGATAAATCATCCTGTTAATGATTTCTACGCAACTTTGTTAACATATGGTAAGAAGTGAAAAGAGAAAGATAACAAGGATTTCTGCACAGGTCTTAAAAATTAACTAGAAAAGAGCTACATGACTTCTGCCAGGGGGAGCATGAAGAAAGGAATATGGTTGTTTTGGGAAAGGAGGAGAAGCAGTTGGAGATTCATTCCCGGAATGTTCCCCAGCCTATGGGGGCTCTGCCACCTCATGGCCTGGCCCGATCTCCACAGGCTTCAGGCTCTATTTGGTCTGCTGAGTTGTAGTTTCCTTACTCCATTCTGATACATCTTTCATATTCAGATATTTGAATTTTTCAACAAAATTTGTAACTTTTTTTTTAATGAAAAAACCAGATTTCACACATTGCATTTAGTTGTGGCTCCTTAATCTAAAGAATAACCTTCCCGGCTCGGCACCTGTGGCTCAAGTGGCTAAGGCGCCAGCCACATACACCTAAGGTGGCGGGTTCGAATCCAGCCCGGGCCTGCCAAACAACAGTGACGGCTGCAACCAAAAAAAAAAAATAGTCAAGCATTGTGGCGGGCACCTGTGGTCCCAGCTACTTGGAAGGCTGAGGCAGGCGACTTGTTTGAGCCCAGGAGTTGGAGGTTGCTGTGAGCTGTGATGCCACAGCACCTTACCCAGGGGGACAGCTTGAGGCTTGTCTCAAAAAAAAAAAAAAAATAATCTCCCATACCCTCTTTTTATTCTCTTAAAATTCACTGTTTGGAAGAGTCCATGTATATGGTAGATGAGCTACATTCTGGATTTATCTGAAAGTTTCCTCATTATTAGATTCACGTTAAATATTTTTAGTAAAAATGTTACACAGATAATAAAGCCCATGATGTCAATTGTATTACTATTGATGTTGCTAAGTTTGATCATTTTGGTTAAGTTTGTGACTGCCAGATACCATTTTTTCCTTTGTAATTAATAAGCAATCAGTGTGGTGATTCTTTGAGACTATGAAAACCTTCTCTTCCTCATTCCCTTTTCTTAGTGGTTTTAGCAACATTTACAGTCCTTGACTGAATCATTTTGAGGGCTAAAGATGATGATTTTTAAAATCTATTATTCCATTTATATTACCTGGCAATCTTCTGTAAAATAGGGTTGTTGTTTGTTTCTTTCTTTCATTTTACATGTATGTTTAGGAATGGTTGTTTTGGAGAGAAAATAAATGGATTACAGGAAATGTATAAACCCAAGAAAGGGTTATTACTATTTTACTACTACTACTATTATTGTTTCTGTGATTCTTGTTATATTTTTAGGAGTATCCCTGAGGATATAGTCAAAAGAAATTTCTCTAAAACAAAGAGAGCATTATGAAGCTGGGGATGGCAGCAGCATTGGTGAGTTCTCATTCTCTGGCTCCCTTGAATCTGAAGCAAGAGGGGCTTCAGGTAGTGAGGGAGGATCACAATTCTACTTGGGAACAGGAATTCAAGCTTCAAGGAAACAGCAGAGGCCATTGTGCAAACAATTAAGGCAGTTGTGTGATGAAGAGACCACAGGACCTCAAGAAGCACTGAGATGGCTCTTGGAGCTCTGCCATCAGTGGCCACAACCTGAGACCCACACCAAGGAGCAGATCCTGGAGCTGGAGCGGTTTCTGACCATTCTGCCTGAGGAGCTTCAGGCCCACTTATAGGAGCATCCCCCAGAGAACAGAGAGGACATGGTTGTTCTGGAGGATTTGAAGCTGGAGCTTGGAAAATCAGGACAACAGGTAAGGGCCAGATGTGCTCTTCTTTTGTAGGAAAGCAGAAATTGACATCTCTTGCCAGATAGGTGAATGTGAATTCACCTTTGGGAGGAAAATTGCTAAACTATTCCGTTTCTTTCCAGTCTCACTGTTCCTTTCAGTATATCTTATCTTCAGCTTACCTGTCCCTTCCTGGGAGGAAACTGACTATGCTTCAGATTCTTTTCTTTTTTTTTTTTGCAGTTTTTGGCTGGGACTGGGTTTAAACCAGTCCACCTTCAGCATATGGAGCCGGTGCCCTACTCCTTTGAGCCACAGGCACCGCCCTGCTTCAGATTCTTGAATCTCTTTTCTCTGCCGTTCTGGAGTCTCTCTTTGTTGTTTCCTAACACTTTATTGGTTTTCTGAACAGTTGTTTCCTAAACCTGCATGTGCCTAATTTTCCCTACATGTACCTAATTGTCCCTAGGATCCAGACCACACAAAGAAACAAAAATTGCATATGGAAGAGATAGCCCCACTGAAAGTGGTTCAAGAGCAGCAGGTTCAGCCTGAGTGTGAAGTTTCAAAGCCTGAGAAAGAGAAGGGTAAGAACTGGATTGCATCTTCTTGTGTGTGAGAGATGGTGGGGCTGTTCAGTTCCCTCTGAGGCCCCACTCAGCACCTTTTTGTTTTGTTTTTGTTTTTAAGTCAGGTTTATTGAAGTATAATTTACATTCAGTAAAATTCACTCTTTGTTAGTGTACATGTCAATAAATTTTCACAAATGGGAATTAATTATGGTCATCTTGGTGGTGCCCGTACCTCAGTGGGTAGGGCATTAACCACATACACCGAGGCTGGTGGGTTCAAACCCAGCCCGGGGCCAGCTAAACAACAATGACAGCTGTAACAAAAAATAGCCAGGCATTGTGGGTGCCTGTAGGCCCAGCTACTTGGGAGGCTGAGACGAGAGAATCACTTAAGCCCAAGAGTTTGAGGTTGCTGTGAGCTGTGACACTACGGCACACTACCCGGGGTGACAACTTGAGACTCTGCCTCAAAAAAAAAGGTACAAGATTTCTATCACCCAATTTTTTTTTTTTTTTTTTGAGACAAATTTTCACTCTGTTGCCCTGGGTAGAGTACTGTGGCATCATAGCAACCTCAAACTCCTGGGTTCAAGTCCTCTTGCCGTAGCCTCCCAAGTAGCTGGGACTACAGATGTATACCACGAGGCTTGGTTAATTTTTCTGTATTAAGTAAAGACAGGGAGACAGCGTTTCACTCTTGCTCAGGCTGGTCCTGAACTCCTGAGTTCAAGCAATCCACCTGCCTTGGCCTCCTAAAGTGCTAGGATTATAGGCATGGGCCACTGTACCCGGCTACCCCAAACATTTTAGTTACACAAAAGACTATGGAAAGTGTAGAAAGGGAATCTGGACCTTCACCCTGCTCTTTTCTCCTTACTATAGGCATAAATTTAAAAATGTAGTGCTAGTATCTCACAAAAGGCAAACAATTCCAACCATATGCTTCATTACTCATTTTTTCTTATCTCCTTCAAATTATTGTGAATATCTTTTTTTTTCTAAATGTGACCTGAATTTTTTTGCTTTGTTCTACTGTACTTTCTTTATCACTGAAATCCTCTTTCTAATTTCTATTCCTTATGTTTTTCTTTTCTTCTTTCTAGTCTGGTGCAATCTCTCTCTCTCTCTTTTTTTTACTTTAGTATCACCTTAGTACTTACATTAAAGTTAAGTTATATCCTGTTCAATTTCTGTCACTTAAACACAAATTCATTAATGTTTCTGTCTTCCTTAAAACCTTTCAGGAGCTGGGTAATAGTACTTTTTCTACTGTTTTTAATGTTTGAAAAATTCCATAGTAAACAGTAAAAAATAAAAATAAGAAAAAAAATCATCTTTATTAGTTCCCAGTAGCCATTAACACAGGTTCATATAGCATGTTCTGGCTTCATGTTTTCTTGAGAAAACATGTCTTCCCAAGTCCTAGTTTTCTTGAGACTTTTAGTTCTGACAGTTTCATGTCCCGGGAATTTCCTTATTCCTAGACAAATTGGGGTGGTGACCCTTTATCCTAAATGTTCACAGTGTGTATTTCCATCAGGACAAGATACATTCTCTTTCCCATTTACTCCTTACTCTTTCTTCTGAGCCTGTCCTGCCTTGTGTCTTCTATCTGTAATGTATTTTTCTCATTGCCCCTGACTAATTCCTCCTCATCCATCAGGACTTATCATAGATATCACTTTCTCTACCTTTCCATAAGTCTCCCAAGTCTGAGTTAGTTTCCTTATCAGTGCTTCTAGAGGTTTAAGATTTCTTCTGCTATAGAACATAGTTTTTGTTTTACTTCTCTTTTTCTCTTGGCCAGACTGATAGTTCAGGGGCTTTATCTTGTTTCTAGAATCTGCTTTTTTTTTTTTTTTTTTTGAGACAGAATCTTACTCTGTTGCCCTTGTTGTTGTTGTAAAATGCAGTGACATCACCATAGGTCACAGTAATATCAAATTCATAGGCTCCAGTGATCATCCTGCCTCAGCCTCCTGAGTAGCTGGGACTACAGGCGCATGCCATGACCCCAGCTAATTTTTCTATTTTTAGTAGAGACAGGGTCTCACTTAGGCTGGTCTTAATTCCTGAGCTTAAGAAATCCTCCTGCCTCAGCCTACCAAAGTGGGAGGATTACAGGTAGGCTCAACTCTATTTTTAATTATGTAGTATCTGCTGCCTTTATCTTGCTTACACTGATTAACCATCATTAGTTTGTTATTAGTGCTGCTTAGAGTCTCCCTCATCTGTTTTTCTCTCCAGTTTCCTTTTTACTCTCCCATTCTGACTTTGCATCACCATTCATGCTCCTAGAGAAAACAAAGTCTGCTTTGCATATGCTCACAGTTGCTTGGAATGTTGGGGGTTGGTGGTGGGGGAAGGGAGAGATGGACATAAGAACAATTTTACAGCATTGTGATTAAAAAAAACAAAACTGTGTTGAACCACATAGAAAAACAATTAGTGCTGTCCAAGGATGTCAGGAAAGGCCAAGGCATTTTTGTGAACTTCATGTTACTCTCAAGGTTTTATGGTCCAGTGTTTTTCATTTATTGATGAGAACACTGAGCCCAGCAGATTAAGATTACCTTTGTAAGATTCCACAGTTACTCAGTGATAAAATTGGCAGCACATCTACATTTCTTTTTTTTTTTTTTGTTCTTGCCTACATTTCTTTATTTGCAATTAAAATGTTATCCCTTTCTTATTGGCTCCAGGGTCCTTGATTAACATAGCTTTTTTAATTTCCATGTGACAAATCATTTTCAGGAAAAACAGTCATGCCCTTTAAAATAATTGGTTTGATTATTTGCTAGATTCTGTGTGTCTGGTGTAAATCATATGATAAAATTTAAACTATTTAAAATAAGTGACCTCCCTCTACAATCCCCCATCCTTCTCCAAAGGCATTTTACAGTTAATAATTACTTGTGTGTCACTTCATATATATTTTGTATAAACGAAAGCATCCACAGCATTTTTATTTTGTATACATAGCCTGATTTAAATTTTTCCTCTTAGTAGATTCCTTTCCCTAAGCATCAAAAAACAAGTAATTGGTGTTATGTATTTAATGTTTCAGATGAGGAGACAAGGATTGAGAATGGGAAGCTTGTTGTAGTGACAGACTCTTGTGGAAGAGTGGAGTCATCTGGGAAAATCTCTGAACCCATGGAGACTCATTATGAGGACTCTCCCTTAAAAAGGCAGCCAGCCAAGCCCAAGGAGACTGACTACAAATGCTCAGAATGTGGGGAGGGGTTCATCCAGCAGTTGGATCTGAGTGAACATGCGAGTGCACACACGGGAGAGAACCTCTGTGAATCTGAAGTATGTCAGAGCTCTAGCCTTACTGGACATCAGAAAACCCTCTCTCCAGAGAAAGGTCATCAGTGTCATGAGTGTGGAAAAGCCTTTCAGAGGAGTTCACATCTTGTCAGACATCAGAAAATCCATCTTGGTGAGAAGCCTTATCAGTGCAAGGAGTGTGGAAAAGTCTTTAGCCAGAATGCAGGCCTTTTGGAACATCTCAGAATTCATACTGGAGAGAAACCTTATCTATGTATTCATTGTGGAAAGAACTTTAGGCGCAGCTCTCATCTTAATCGACACCAGAAAATTCACAGTCAAGAGGAGCCCTGTGAGTGCAAGGAGTGTGGAAAGACCTTTAGTCAGGCCCTCCTCCTCACCCATCACCAGAGGATCCATAGTCATTCTAAAAACCATCAATGTAATGAATGTGGGAAGGCCTTCAGTTTGACCTCAGACCTTATTCGACACCACAGGATTCACACTGGAGAAAAACCTTTCAAGTGTAACATATGCCAGAAAGCCTTCCGATTAAACTCACACCTCACTCAGCATGTAAGAATCCACAATGAAGAAAAACCGTATGAGTGTAATAAATGTGGAGAAGCCTTCAGGCAGAGGTCAGGTCTTTTTCAACATCAGAGATACCACCATAAAGACAAACTGGCTTGATGAGGTGTTCTCGACTTGTAGAACGTCAGAGAGGGCACATTGAAGCAAACTGCACTTCAGGAAAAGTCACTGTAGCCAATGCTAGCATCAGAGCATTCCGGAGGGCCAGATTGGAGGCTCTCTGCCTCCATTCTCTCTCTTTTGTTTTCCTTAAAGTCAGTTTTAGACTTTAGTAATTTTTTTTTTTTTTTTGAGACAAAGTCTCATTTTGTCACCCTCAATAGAGTCCTGTGGCATCACAGCTCCCAGCAACCTCCAACTCTTGGATTTAGGCGATTCTCTTGCCTCAGCCTCTTGAGTAGCTGGGACTATAGGTGCCCACCACAATGCCTGGTTATTTTTTGTTGCAGTTGTCACTGCTCTTTTAGCTGACCGGGGCCAAGTTCGAACTCACCACCCTTGGTATATGGGGCGGTGCCCTACTCACTGAGCCACAGGGGCCTCCCAGACTTTAGTAATTTCATCCTAGTTGGTACTCTGGGATCAAAGCTAACCAGCATTCTTCACTGCAGGACTACAGAATCTTCAACATACTAAATGCATAATTGTGTATCTCTAAGCAGTAGTGAGTGACAGCTTTGAAGTCAGCAGTGAATCCACAGATTTATGGGCTTAAGCAGAACAAGGGCAGGTTGATAGTTTTGCATATCCTGTAGCAACCGGCTCCTATAAAATAAGACTAATGCTGTTTGGAAATATGTGTACTGCTCTCGAAGGTGTCTTAAAGTACAAATTAATGAGAACATTTTCTCCCAGTGGCTTTACCCCATTCCTCCCACTGACCCCATAGTCTCTCACCCAAAATCAATAACATAATTTTAAAAAGTGAAGATAACCTTATTATTATTTTTTTTTTTGGCCAGGCCTGGGTTTGAACCCACCCCCTCCAGCATATGGGGCTGGTGCCCTACTCTTTTGAGCCATAGGTGCCACCCAGTAAAGATAACCTTGTACTGGTTAACTACAGAACTTGCCTTCAGGGTTAGATTCATGTAGCTTTACCATTTCCTACCCCCATCTCCACCACATTATTTCATTCAAGTTATAAACCAAAGTTTTACTGAGACTATGGAAGAGATTTCATAAGTCATTTGAATGAACAGTGCTGAATTAATCCAAGTAGCAACTGTTTCACTTGATAATTCCAGTATAGTGGCTGCTGCATGAACACTTCAATAAATGTCAGATTCAACTTTTTCCCTTTAATATTGATGCAAATTTTAAAATGTTGCTTGTTCTGGAATTCTTTGAAAGTTAAAACAAAGTTAGCTTAGAGAAGAGATTATGATCTTTATATCATGAATACCAGAATGTCATAGTAATGATAAAGAATATTAAACTTAAGACTTGAGTCCACTCCAAAACACATCACCAGGATGATAAACACCACTTATTACCACTGCCATCAGCATTGGTAGCAGCTGCATAGGGTACTGCTGTCTGGAGAAGACTTCTTAGTCTGCCAGTGTGGGAAGATTGGTGAACCCTCATGTAGTGAATAGGACTAGGTTTAGCTGCATATGGTTTAAAATACTAAAAATTAGGAATGACTTCATAAAATTTATTTTTCTCTTTGATAGAAAAGGTAGAGATAATCCATCCTTGATGACTGCTGAAGCTCTAGCTATCATGTGCAAAATGTGGAGAAAAGGCAGGACAAAAAGATTCCTCCAAATTCAAACAGCTCACTTTCAGCAGCCTTTCCCAGCATATTTTAGCATATATGTCATAGGCCAAAACTTAGGAAAGGAAGACTAGAAAGTATACCTTACTGTGGGTTATAGAGTGCCCAGCTGAAAATTAGAGTTTTGTCACTAAGGATAAAGGGGAGAATAAATGTATTAGGCATTTATAACAGGCTCACTACCTGTTCCTTCCCATTCTAATCTGACCAGTGCAAGCTGACCAGAAGCACCCGTTAATACTATTTTTTGAAAGGAGAACAAAAATCTGTAGAAGCAGCTGTAACTTTTTTAGACAGTAAAGGATTTCATGTAAAGTCAGTCATAGCCTGTTGCTTAGGAAGCCACAAAACTAGGTATCTTTTATTCTGCCTTTAAGGATTTCATGTAAAGTCAGTCATAGCCTGTTGCTTAGGAAGCCACAAAACTAGGTATCTTTTATTCTGCCTTTATGACTAAAATTACATTGATGGCAGGAATTTTTCCTCTAAATATTGTGAGGCCTATGCTTGAGGTGGGTACCTAAACATTTAGCTCCATGTTATAGTTTAAATCTGTTTGTTCAGTTTAAGAAGAAAAGTACATAAATATCTTTATTATTATGAAAAAGCAATGAAAATAAAAAGATTCAAAATATAAAGAACTATATTCCCTTTATTATCTGGAAAACTTATCTTGGCTTTCTCCATGATTATATAGAACAGGTATAAACATTCTAAATTCATTGACACCTTAAACAACCTAATTCTTCCCTTCAGGTCCAAAGGAAATGGTGTTATTCTGCTTGGGGAAGATCCATATTCACCTGGGCATATATGTCAGAGAAGTATTTAAAAATGCTTTCTTTCTTAATCATAGAAGCATTGAACAAAGGACAAATGTCATAGCAATCTCAATTAAGGTCTCACTTGCAGCGTAAAACAGCCATATCACCCTAAAGGTAAGTTAAACATCTATTTAGAGGACAGGAATCCAGGAGGAATGTATGCAGCAATATCTTTTACTAATCAGGCAATTCTGTTTGGGTAGCATTGTGTGATATCCAAATATAGAGTGGGATGGGAAGCCTCTGTCTCCATTTCCCTCTCTTCTGTTTAAAAACTGATAAAGTTGTTACATAGCTTACCATTATACAGTAGTTGAAAAATAAGAAAGAGAAGAAAATCAGGCTCAGCAGCCATAGTACAGTGGTTATGGTGCTAGCCACATACACCAAGGTTGGCAGGTTTGAACCCAGCTTGGGCCAGCTAAACAACAATGACAACTGCAACAAAAAATAGCCGGGCATTGTGGCAGGCACCTGTAGTCTCAGCTACTTGGGAGGCTGAGGCAAGAGAATGACTTAAGCCCAAGAGTTTGAGGTTGCTGTGAGCTGTGACTCCATAGCACTCTACTAAGGACAACATATGAGACTCTGTCTCAAAAAAAAGAGAAAAAGTCACCCTAATTGTCCTTGTTATAATTAGCTTCATAAATTCTGTTAAATTATGTCTGTTTATGATAGAAACTCTATTGTAATGAAAACTTGAAAAATATAAAGAAAAATCTTGTTTCATGATCCAGCTATATATAACTTCAAAATATATATTTTGAGATCCTTTCTTTTTTTAACACAAAGAAACACTTTGCTTTCCTCATTGGACTTTAATTGTATCACAAACGGTTTTCATTTGGAGCAAACAGGACAGTCAGTTTGCCCATCTGCCCACCTCATTCTGATTCAGTCCTGCCTTGATCCTGGAGTGGGCAGCCTCCCATGTGATCCTTCTTTGACCACTGATTATTGAATAAAGAGAAGAACTGAGCCAGACTTAGCTATTTAGATACCTATGGGAAGTTGATACTGATTTTACATTGTGATTGGTCTTTATTAGGCATTTGAAAAAAAGTAATACAGAGCTGGAACAATTTCTGTGGCTACTTAACCAAAAAGAGACAAATGAAGAGAAGCAAAAGAATGAAACCAGTTTCTAAAGCAAAGATCCTATGAGAGCCCAGAAAGACTCAGGAGCAGCAACTTAAGGCTTCAACTTCTGGAATCCATCTACATCCTGGTCTTAAAAGTCCCTGGAATACTCCTGTTTTCTTCTAATAAAGATTTTAAGTTTTGAAACCTCAAAAACAAATCCCTGATTAAGACACACAGGTTATTAATAATCTTCATGGAGGATTGTTTTCTATATAATCTGTACCATATTCTGTAGTATATGTCTCTATTGTTAGTTTATATCATTTATAGTCTGTCACCATAAACAATATTCCTGTGAATGTGCTTGTATGTACAACTTGCTCCCTGGTGGAATTTATTTCTTTAGTTCCCATAAATGAAAATCAATGAGCAAAAGGTAGGAGTAGTTTCTAAGACTTTTGATACATTTGTCAGAATTCCCTCCAGAAAGGTTATACCTTTCTCTATGCCCTATAAGCAGTCTGTGATGATGTCCAGTTTTCTATACCCACTTCAACTCTGGGAATTCTCTTTGTGAATATTTAACAGTTTAAAGTTCGTAAAATGGTTTGCTTTGCTTTTTTAAAATAGACCTTATTTTTTAGAGAAGTTTTAAGTTTATAGCAAAATCGAGAGAAAGATACTCCCCTATTATCAGCATCCCTTAACAGTGTGAAATTTGTTACAATTAATGAACCTATGTTGATGAACCACTGTCACCCAAAGACCATAGTTTACTTTAAGGCTTATTCTTGGTGTTGTATATCTTATTGATTTGGACAAATACATTATAATATTTATTCACCATTATAGTTGCAGATACTGAGTAGTTTTATTGCCCTAAAAATCCTCTATCCTTCACCTATTCATCCCTTCCTCCCCCTGCTTCCTAGCAAACCACTGATCTTTTTATAGTCCCTAATCAGAAATCCAAAGTCTGAAATGCTCCAAAATCTGAAACTTTGAGCACCCATATTATGTTGCTGGAATTTCTCTGCTGGGTACTTGGTCCTGGAAAATCAAAGAATGAGTTCACGGACCACCACAAGTAAGCAACAGGACAGATTTAATTGATAGATAAGAGAAGAAGGAAAACAAAACCTACGGCACAGCAGAGTGCTTCCCAAGTGGATATGTTGGCTCTCAGTTTAGGGGTTTACATGCAGTTGTCTTTCCCTGCAGGCAGTGGGGTTTGGAGAAATGGAATGTATGTCTAAAATATGTCATAACTGTTGGCACCAGAGGCCTGTGGGCAGAAGTCAATTTTAAAACTGCCATTGTGTAGGAATGTCATCTTGTTTGTGGTGTTGCGCTCTTCCCTGTTTAGATGGAACGCTAATCAAATTGGTTTATGAGCCTGTTCAGGCCCAGAAAAGGGGTCTATGTCCAGCTCTGATGGGGTTGGGAAGGACTGCATACTTGCATTAGTGACACAAGTCACAATGTCACACCTGACCTCATGTCACAGTCAAAATGCAGTCAAAACTTTGTTTCATGCACAAAATTATTTAAAATATTGTATAAGATTGTCTTTAGGCTGTCTTTCAGTACATATGGAACATAAATGAATTTATTTTCCATCAACATAGCTTTGTTCATAATTTCCAGGACTCAGAAGAAAACAAGACAGCTTTCAGTAAGTGTGGCAATGAAAAAGAAACCATACTGTGTAAAATAATTTAAATGGTTTATTCTGAGCCAAATATGGGGACCATGACCTAGAACAACACCCAAGAAACCTTGACCAAGTGGATTCTGTGGTAGGTTTGCAGTTTGGTTTTATACATTTCAGGGATACAAGAATTACAGGGAAAGTCATAAATCAATACATGGAAGGCATACATTGGTTTGGCCTGTAAAGGTGGCACATCTCAAAGGGGGGGCACAAGTTATAAGTGAGTTTAAAGATTCTTTAGTTGACAATTGGCTGAAAGAATTGGGCTTTGTCTAATAGACCCAGAGTCAGCAAAAAGGAATGCTGAGTTAAGTAAGGGTTTGTTAATCAGTGAAGAAGTATAGTATGCCCAGACCCAAGTGGTTTTTTATGTATATTGAGGACCTACAGGTATGTCTTGCATAACCTTAGGCGTATTAATGAGTCCCATAGGACAACTCTAAGGAGGGAAGAGAACATGATAAAGCATGGCTAGCAACTCAGTTTTCAGGGATCCCCTTGACCAAGGGGAGGGTCAGTCAACCACTGATTTGGGGGGGGTGTGCTTAAGATTTTGTTTTGGTTCACAGGTGAATGGATAAATACCGGGTTTTTATATTTTACTATTGAATATCTTTTCCCATTTTAATTAGTCATTTAAGATCTTGATATTGTGAATAATCATGTTCATTCCCTTTATTGATTTTTCCTTTAGAGTCTCCTTTTACTCTTTTTTTTTTTTTTTTGAGACAGAGCCTCAAGCTGTCCCCCTGGATAGAGTGCCATGGCATTACAGCTCACAGCAACCTCCAACTCCTGGGCTCAAGCTAGTCTCCTGCCTCCGCCTCCCAAGTAGCTGGGACCACAGGCGCCCACCACAACGCCCAGCTATTTTTTGGTTGCAGCCGTCATTGTTGTTTGGCGGGTCCGGGCTGGGGATTCGAACCCGCCACCTTAGGTGTACGTGGCTGGCGCCTTAGCCAGTTGAGCTATAGGCGCCGAGCCCTCCTTTTACTCTTAAACAGAAGTGTCCTTAAAAATTAACTAGGAGGTAGGTGTGGTGGCTCACACATGTAATCCTAGCACGTTGGGAGGCCAAAGTGGATTGCTTGATCTTAGGAGTTCAAGACCAACGTGAGCAACAGAGAGACCTCATCTCTACTAAAAACAGAAAAACCAGTTGGGTATTACGGCAGGCACCTGTAGTCCCAGCTACTTGGGAGGCTGAGGCAAGAACATCACTTAAGTCTAAGAGTTTGAAGTTGCTGTGAGCTATGACGCCATGGCATTCTACCCAGGGTGATAGAGTGAAACTCAGTCTCAAAAAAAAGAAAAAGGAAATCCTATTATAGCAGGAAACCTATGCAGATGGAAGACTCTAGGCACCAGTTGATTAGAGGAAGCGGGTTTATTCGGCTGAGGGTACTCGGAACACCAGCATGTTTCCCAAAACCGAGCCCCCCCCCCCGGACTCAGTCCCTTGCCTCTCTTTTATCCACTTTTCAGGGTGGGAGTGCACGTGAGGGTCATGAAATAAAGCGTGAGACATGACATCATCCTCAAGGGGAAAGTCAGATTCGCCTGTGTCCTTGAGACCTTTGGCCACCTGCCCTCAAAGGCAATGGAAGCCCAAAGAAGTTACTAGATTACAATCTAGGCCCCAGGTATGTCAGGGTAGAAACACGCAGACAATAGAAACGCCTGCGGCTTGGCTGAGGCCTACACAGGGTGGCTTGGACAGACTCTTTTAGTTCTGCTTTTTACTTTTCTTGCCTCAGTGTATCAAATGACCTTAGGGCCAGGTCTATGTGATAAGGAGTCCAGCACCCCCTTTTCTGATTCTAAATCACGTTACTCCACGTTTTATAGAGGAGAGGCCAGTGCTTTCTGATAAAAAATGGCCTGTTCACTTAAAATATTATTTATGCCAAGGAATCATATTTTGGGGTGAAATTTCCTTACCTCCTTCAGCATCACTAGGAATAGTTAAGTAAATTATGGTACAATCATGCAATGGAGTATTATTTAGCTGTTAAAGAATAAGTTAATGTGGCCGGGCAAGGTGGCTCACACCTGTAATCCTTGGACACTGGGAGGCTGAGGTGGGTGGATTGCCTGAGCTCATGAATTTGAGACCAGCCTGAGCCACAGCAAGACCTCGTCTCTTAAAAAAAAAAAAAAAAAAAAAAAATAGCCAGGCATTGTGGCAGGTGCCTGTGGCTGTGGTCCCAGCTACTTGGAAGGCTGAGGCAGGAGAATCACTTAAGCCCAAGAGTTTGAGGTTGCTGTGGGCCGTGATGGCACAGTACTCTACCAAGGGCAACAAAGTGAGACTGTCTCAAAAACAAACAACAACAAAAAAGAATAAGTTAATATGGAATGATCTCCAAGCTATCGTAACTGAAAAGAGCTAGGTGCAAAATTATATTCTGACCCCATAAGTATTTTAAAATATGTAGTGAAGGAACTAGGGAAATTTCATCCCAAAAGATGAGTCCCTGGTATAAATATTTTGAATTGAAGGTCACCGAAGGTCAAGAAACACTGGAAGAGGTCTTCCCTCTACCTGCATAAACTGAACTGACTGTATCAGAAGATCAAAGGGGACAATTGACTCCCCTTCCTCCTTCTGTTATTTCAAAATATTTCAGAAATGAGGGTGGGGAATATAGATGAACTAGGCCCAAGTCATTTGGGTCATAAATACCTGTCTCCCAGATTAATATAATATATAAGTCAATCTATTTCTCTCCCATCCCCTCCTCCTCCCTAGCAACGTTTAGGCCCTGTGCTCCTCAACATCCCCCTTCCCCTCTACAAGACCCCTATACAGATATTGAATTCCGTTAGAAAACTGGGTTACCACTCTGATTTTTCCCTGTGCAGATGGTAATCCTTTCTTTTATTAATCTGCCTTAATTATGAATTGATCTTTCAGCAAATTTTGAGGGGAAGTGTCTTGCCCCTACATAGATACAAATTTATTCACTAAACAAAATGTTTATTGAGTACTACCACGTGGCAGGTAGTGTCCTGGGAAGATATACACAAAATACTAACAATGGTTAACTCTAAGGAGTGGGACACTTTTTGTTTCATAGTCTTTATACAACTCGAGTTTATATTGTGCATATATAATCTGCACATTTAATGAAAAGAAAGTAATTTGTATTGTTTGCTGTATTGCAATATTTATTGATCTGTATCTTCTACCAACCTGTGATGCCCCCAAAGAAATTCCACCTTGTCTTTACCATTCTGTGGCTTTTAACTGAAATGATTTACCTAAATGCGTTTGAGCCATCAGGATGGGTCTGGCGTCGGGCAGGCGCCAAGAGAGGCCTGGGCCAAGCGGCAGGGGGCAGCAGGGGACCGCCTGGCGCATCAGAGAGACTAGCGGTGGCGCTCCTAGAGAGGCACGGAACCGGCCGAACGCCGCTACTAGGCTCCCGGACCCGCAGCACCCGCAGCTCTCGGCCCCAGCCTGGCTGCAGGAAGCGCCGGAGAGACCATCTCGCCCGCGGCCTGGGCTCCGATGAGGCGGCCGGCGACCCCGACTGTGGAACCCTGGGCCTCGGCGCTCCCATGGGAGGCTTTCACGAGGTCGGCCAAGTCTTTGTTGTGCACTGTCGCTGAACTTTTGGTCTGTTAAACAACTAGGGACGCACTATTGCCTGCCCGTTATGTGTCAGCCGCTGTGCTAGGTGCTGGGGTGGGATCTCAGTCAGATAACGTTCTGGACCTGCCAACCTGTCCTGGCTACTGGCATCTCAGGTACGTCTGCGTGCATTTATCAAGAAGTCCATCAATATTTGTTGAATACCCAGTACACGCCAGGCTTGTAGAGTCTGTGTAGAGATAAACCTTCTTCCTCAAGAAATGGTGGGGATCGAGGAGGGGAATTTGTAATACGAGATGGAGGGGCGGTACAGCTTCCGTGGCAACACCCCATCTCTACCTGTGTGGCTTAGAGAGGACAGAACAGTAGTTTTTAGGGGTGGCCAGGGAAGGTTTTACATAGGTCATTTGCTCGTAGTCTTGGGAATTTACAGTTAGAAGGGCAGTTTTGGCTGTGAAGGCATAAAGTCAACAGAAAAAGTTTGAGTATTCAGCATGGCGGTGAGGTGATGAATTTAGCGAGACCATAGATAGGAACTGTATCTTTTATTCTAGAGTTAGCTTTATGCCTGCAAAATAATGCGATGTTCCATAAACGTTTATTGAGTGACAAATCAGTAAAATCCAGTAAAGATCAGATCCTGTGGAGTTTGAATTTAGTTCATCAAGGAGTAATTAAAATTCATTTTTTGGAGGTTTGTTGAATGGAGTCAGGATTGTGCTTTAGGAAATATTAATCCAATGACAACGGATGGGGGAGTTGGACAGGAATACCCCATAGAAAATTATTGTAATAGTGAATGAAAATATAGTAAAGAAATTAAAAGGAAGAAATGGTAGCAAGAGGCGTTTCGAAGAATTAACTGAACTCAGAGTGATTGTATATAAAGGCAGATTTTAAGACTGAGTGCATGAAGAAGATAATGATACCAGTAGAATGGAGAAATTATAGAGTGAATGTAGTTTTGAGGGACTCTGATTTCAGTTTGGGATGTGATGAAATTATAGTGCAGGAGAGACCCACAGTTGCTGGCATTTCAAGGTATAGATTGGGAGTGTGAAAGGCAAATTGGAGCCAGAGATTTGAGTCTTCTTGGAGTAGAGATGTATTGAAATTATGCCTGAGATCACAAAAGGAGAAAGTGAGAGGAGAGAAAAAAAAAGAACTTGATGCTATCATGTATACTGTTTCAGTTACCTATGTCATATCAAAAATAAATAAAAGTGGCTCGGCACCTGTGGCTCAGGTGGCTAAGGTGCCAGCCATGTACACCCAAGGTGTCGGGTTCAAATCCCCAGCCCAGGCCCGCCAAACAACAATGATGGCTGCAACCAAAAAAAATAGCCAGGCGTTGTGGCGGGCGCCTGTGGTCCCAGCTACTTGGGAGGTGGAGGCAGGAGACTCACTTCAGCCCAGGAGTTGGAGGTTGCTGTGAGCTGAGATGCCACGGCACTCTGCCCAGGGGGACAGCTTGAGGCTCCTGTCTCAAAAATAATAATAATAATAATAAAATAAAATAAATAAAAGTTCAAAATTTAGTGGCTGAAAGTAATCCCAGCTACTTATTTCTCAGGATTGTGTGTGTTGACTTGTCAGTTCTACTGCTCATCTCACCTGGAGTTACTCATATAGCTCATATACTTGCATTCAGCTGATGAATCATCTGAGCATTAGGCCCAGCTGGGCTTAAGCTTGGGTATCTTGGTTCTCATTCACATGACTTTCTGCATGGCTAGCTTGGGCTTCTTCACAGCATGGCAGTCAATGACAGTGTGCCAGGAGTCACGAGGCCACTTTCTCTTACAGTATCATTCTGAAAGTCAAGAATGTGACTTTTGGTGCTGGGAACCTTTTGAAGTCCAAGTAGTTCCTTGGCTTCCTGAAAAAGCAAATTCAGGAGAGAGCTGATATATAAAGTGAGTGCAAGATTTACTCAGAAACTATAAAAAGTCTACTCTACAGAGCAGAAGCAAGTTCTCACTGCAGAAGAAAACTGGCTCCCTGGCTCCTATTGCCTTTCTATTTAAGCAACAACTTAAATTATAGGCTAAATAAGGGGAGGAATATTCATAGTAGGGATGGTGTTTCACCACCTTGGTTCTAACCTGTTGGAACTTGCCCTGCCTCCATCCTGTTTTGATCAGAGCAATTTGACACTTTGTTTTGAGACTTCCTGACTCAGTTAGGCAATGCCCAAAGCAGTACTTAAAGCAGGACCTATCAGTTCCCTATCTCAATTCTGCCATATTTGGTTGGTCAAAGCAAGTCATAGGCCAGCATAGATTCCACGGAAGGGTAGATTCCACCTCTTGACGAGAGTGTGGTATGTCTGAGTAGGGAGACTTTGGAACAGTCTACCACACCTACATTTAGGGTAGAATATTCAATGAGAGATGCACAGACACAAATGACCTCTGAGATTGTATTATTTGGCCTTGAAGGTAGTTATCTAGCTTAATGGGTAAAATTACTCCTCTCCTCAGCTAACATGTAGCAGCCCAAACATTCTTATTGTTAACCCTTCTTCTTTCATATCTTACATTCCTACCTTTGGGCTCAACCACTCTAGTGTTAAAGATCAGCTTCTTATTAATTTCACTGATAATAGAGGTAAGTAGGTTCAGCTTTTGGGCTTTACCTAGAATGGGGACAAAAATATACATATACATAGTGCTCACTTCAGCAGCACATATACTAAAATTAGAATGATACAGAGAAGATTAGCATGGCTCCTGTGCAAGGATGACATGCAAATTCGTGAAGCATTCCATATTTTTAAAGCTGAAAATATATATATATATATATAAGTACATAGAGTTTTGGCTCTCTTAAAATTTGCATATTATTAATACTAGTTATGCTCAGCTATACATTTCTGAAACACAGACCCCGGCTAAGTGAACCTTTTCCTATCCTTTAAGCTCAACATGTATGAAGCTTTGCCTGGCCCTGCTCTTGAAAATGAAGTTGGCTTTGTGAAATTGAAGGAGGAAGATCCCACCTGGGAGCAGGTGTGTAGTGCCCAAGAGGGCAGTTCCCACACTCAGGAGCTCTGCCGTTTGCGCTTTCGACAGTTCTGCTACCAGGAGGCTTCTGGGCCCCAGGAAGCTTTAGCCCAACTCCGAGAACTTTGTCATCAATGGCTAAGGCCAGAGATGCACACCAAGGAACAGATCCTCGAGTTGCTGGTGCTGGAGCAGTTCCTGACCATCCTACCCAGAGACCTCCAGGCCCGGGTACAGAGGTATCCTCTGGAGAGTGGGGAGGAAGTAGTGACAGTGCTGGAGAATCTAGAAACCAGAAGTGGAAACAGAGGACACCAGGTAGGAAGAGAATATGTGTGGTGGTGTGGGAGAAGAAATGGGGAACATCTATGTTAACTTCTAACTTTTTATTTGGAAATAATTTATAACTTATAGAAGTATTGGAAAATGTAGTCCTAGTTTCTCAGGAGGCTGAGGCAGGAGAATCAGTTAAGCCCAGGAGTTTGAGGATACAATAAGCTATAATTGTGCCACCGTGCTCCAGCCTGAGTGACAAAGCAAGACCTTGTCTCTAAAAAGATTAATGAAATAAAGAAATACCGAGAGGGTAGTTCAGAGAATTCCTGTATCCTCTTCGCCTGGATTCACTGGTTGTTAACATTTGTTTCACGATTTGCCCACTACTCCACTTGTGCAAACAAGTGCATGTTCTCTCTCTCTCATTCATTATGCATATGTATAAGTATATACACACATACACTTTTATTTTTCCTCAAACCGTTTGAGAGTTAGTTGCCTACATGATATCTCTTTACCGATGTTATTTCTGAAGATCAAGGACATTCTCTTCTATAACCTGAAGAGAAGTAATCAAGTTTAGAGAATTTAAAATTATTATGATACTATCTTATAATACTACTTTTTATTCAGATTTTACCATGTTTCCCAACAGTGTTTTTTTATGTCAGTTCCCCCAATCTAGAATATAAGCCAGCATCACACATTGCATTTAGTTGCTGTGACTCTTTAAATTCCATGAATTTGGAATAGCTGCTCAGTCTTTCTTTGTCATGACATTGATATTTGTGAAGAGTATAGGCCAGTTTTTTTTTTTTTGAGAATGCCTCTCAATTTGGATTCTTCTTAAGTGCTACATAGCTCATCGCTGAATAGCACTACAATTACCTTTAAAGTACATTCCTTGGCCAAGTAGCGACTCTAGTAATATTGAACAATGAAGTATGCGTGGCTCAGCACCTGTAGCACAGTGGTTATGGCGCCGGCCACATGCACCAAGGTTGGTGGGTTCAAACCTGGCCCGGGCTAGCTAAACAACAATGACAACTACAACAAAAAATAGCTGGGCATTGTGGCGGGCGCCTGTAGTTCCAGGTACTTGGGAGGCTAAAGAGAATCGCTTAAGTCCAAGAGTTTGAGGTTGCCATGAGCTGTGATGCCATGGCACTCTACCTAGGGCAACATAGTGAGATTCTGTCTCAAAGAAAAAAAAAATGAAGTATGCAGCATTTTTTCTAGGATGTGTTCATGAGCTTGTGAAATGACTACCACAAGCTAATGAACGTATCCATCTACTCACAATTAACCGTTTTGTGTGTGTATAGTAAAAATACCTATGATCTACTTTCTTAGTAGATTTCAAGTATACAATACATTTTTACCAACTACAATCACCATGCTGTACCTTAGGTCTCCAGAACTTATTTATCTTACGACTGCAAGTTTGTACCTTTCACCAATGTCAAGTTTTATTTTTATGTCTAACCCTGTATCTATACAAACTTTTGAAAACTTAGAGAATTTTAAAATGGTAGAATTTTAAGGTCTTATCAACACCCACAATACTTAGGAAAGCTAAAATTCAGAAAGTTTAAGACCTTGCTCAAGGTCAACAGAGGCAGAGCCACTTCTAGAATTTAAGTCTCCTGACCTTTGACTAAAACTCCCTGTCAACAACATGTTTCTATTCTACATTTTTAATTCTACACTTGTGGATGTTTAAAAATATTTACTTGGTGACTTCCCACAAGTTTATACTTTTTCCTGTGGTAACATATTCTCCAGTATCCTCTTTGGTTCTGATCTTTTAATCTTTTTAAATGCAACTTAAACTAGAAACTAGGGTGTAATAGATTCTCCCTTTTCTCAATTTGGAGTGCACTAACCCTTGTGCAGGGTCTCTTACTTTCCATGTTTGGGCTTCTCCTCCAGTTAAAGCATCCCAACTATTAGGTATATTTCAGCTTGCTGGAGGCATCTGGCAATAGGGTAAGCCATGCAAAGAATGTAAAGTTTGTGTCTACAGACTCATTGAAGAGCACAGATAAAAGCACACAGATACTCTTCAATGAAGAGACCTTAGAACTTTATAAAGGAATATTTTTAACTCTTGAGAGGAAGATTTTTTTCTCCCAGTATTTGTTGAAAACTATGTATATTTCTTCTCTTCCCTGGAAAAATGCATGCACATAAAAAATTTTGCATATGATTTCAGGGAATTGGTTTACCAATCACCAAACTGTTGATTTGTGAATGCTGATATTTTGATAGTAAGTGCAGAATGGCTCATATAATCAATGATACAAGAACATTAGAGGGGAATAAAATGTATAGGGCTCAGATTATTTGTGATATTTACCCTTTGCAGCATAAATGGAATTTGATAGTTCCCTGTGTACATGGCTGATTGTCTACCCCTGCATGAAGCTCCAGTGTTTTATTTATGTGAAAAAAGTTTATAGATGTTAGGGAGCTCTATAGTCTTGGGAGCTGGGAAAGTTTTCCAAGAGAGGTGATCCCGGCATTGTACCTTGAAGGATTTGGAGTGGAGCAAAAATGAGATAAGCATTCTCATTTACTTTTAGATGATGAACATTCTCTACTGAAATTGATTTTATTTCATTTGATTAGAGAAGAGAGACAATGAAGAATGAATGTGAGTAGTTGTAAGAATGGTGATGGTAATTGACAGATAACAGTGGTCATAGAATATAGAATTCTTTAATGTGTGTGAAGACTTTAAAAACTGCATGAGATGGCTCATATAGCTGGATCCTGGGCCTAGGGGTGCTTTTCCTTGATCCTCTAAGCCCCGATAAGGATGCACCACTGCAGTGGTATGTATGGTATGGGGATAAAGATACTCCTTGTCCTTCAGAAAGTACACCTAGTCATTCTCAAGGCCTTCTTATATCCTCTTAGCTCCTCCTAAATTTTCTTAAGACTCTGGCTAAGGACCTGCCTAACTAGTAGTTATAAACCCAACACATTTCTACAGGTTACCTGAGACCAGAAGGTCAGTTTTCCAGGCATAGCAGCATCTCTTCCTCCAATGCTAGTCAACCAACATGGCTAGAGGATAGGGTTTCTTTAGGGAAAAGATCGAGTAGAGGGAATGGGAAGGTTAGTTGGGGCCATTTATGGAGGCCTTTAAATTCAAACCAAGAAGCTCTAACTTTATCATTAAAAAGTTGGGTGTCCTTGAAACCTTTTTTAAAATAAAAAATGTGATTTTTAGCAATTGTGTTATTTATGTGTATGTGTATAATATTGCATCCTTACCTGCCATGAAATACTAGATTTAAAATGAAAACTCTAGAATATTTTTGCCTGTCTCAATTGTAATTGATTCTTCATGTCAGCTGCATTATTAGGTATTTAGATATGATGATGTAGAAAGAACTTTGAGATATCATCTGGTTCATTGCAACTTAAATCCATTTTCTCCTATTTTGTCTTTGGCAGGGATGTATAGCAGTGGACTGGTGTTTGTAACAAAATTTCATATGCCTAAAAACATTTCTTTGCTCCTTTCTTAGGCCTAACTCCAATGCCTTTCCAATGCCTTCTAACTCAGGAGCAAACACAAAGTCTGATCTGATCTATGATCTCTAAAATTTTCTGTCACCTTTGATCTCTTTCTTCTTTCCTTACTGCATTATATCTTTATCTCCTTCTGTTTTCTGTTGCCACCTTCCCCCTTCTTAACTTAGCCCTTTTTCTGTCAGTGGATCTGCTTTATTTTACAGTGGATTTTTTGTTGTTGTTGTTAAATCATAGCTGTATACATTAATGCAGTCATGGGGTACAGTGTGCTGGTTCTATATACAATCTGAAACCAGTTTTCTTTTCATCAAACTGGTTAACATAGCCTTCATGTCATTTTCTTAGTTATTGTGTTAAGACATTTATATTCTACATTTAGAAAGATTCACAGGTACCCTTGTAAAATGAACCATAGGTATGGTCCCACCAATCACCCTCCTTCTACCTATCCTCCCCCCTCCCCTCGCCTCCCCATATTCTTGGGCTATAATTGGGTTATAGCTTTCATATGAAAGCTATACATTAGTTTCATAGTAGGGCTGAGTACATTGGATACTTTTTCTTCCATTCTTGAGATACTTTGCTAAGAAGAATATTTTCTAGCTCCATCCATGTAAACATGAAGGAGGTAAAGTCTCCATCTTTCTTTAAGTCTGTATAATATTCCATGGTGTACATATTACAGTGTGCTTTTAAAACTGTTTGGTTTGGCATAATAAAAGGGAATCAGGGCAGGCCAGGTGTGGTGGCTTATACCTGTAATTCTAGCACTCTAGGAGGCCAAGGTTGGTGGATTGCCTGAGCTCAGGAGTTTAAGACCAGCCTGAGTAAGAGTGAGACCCTGTACTAAAAATAGAAAAACTAGCTGGCATTGTGATGGGCACCTGTAGTCCCAGCTACTTGGGAGGCTGAGGCTAGAGGATTGATTGAACCCAGGAGTTTGAGGTTGCTGTGAGCTATGATGCCACTCCACTCTACCAGGGTTGACAGAGTGAGATGCTGTCTCAAAAATAATAATAATAATAATGGTAATAATAATAATAAAGTGAATTAGGGCAAGGCTTTTTTTTTTTTTTTTACCAACAACAACAACCATAAAAAGATTCCATAGTATTCCCTTGTGTCCAGAACAAAGAAAAATGATACTGTGTTCTGTTATATTTTGGGTTAGAATTACCACATATGCTCTTCATTTGGTAATTTTGTGTTCCTTGTATTGTTGCTTATCTTGAAAATGTCTCATTTAATCTTCATTAACCCTGTAAAATAGACTGTGTTCTTCCTATTATATAGGTGAGGAATTAGAAATTTAGAGAGGCTGTGACCCAAGGTCACATAGCTATAACTATAATTCAGCTCTTTGGACATCAAATGCAGTTTATATCTGCATTCTTTTTCACTAGTTAATCTATGAACACATCAAGATGAAAAAAATGTAGCTTGTAGCTCTCTCCTTTACACTGTTGTGCCTACCAGGTCTTGACAATCAAGATGTTTCAAAGCTGTTTCTTTCAGGAAATTCCTCATCCCTAACCATGATTGGATAATTTAAAGAAGGAACTCTGTATACTCTGAGAATTTTTGAATTTCTGAAGATACACCTGTTCTCCTTAAAGACAGTATTCAGAAGTGAACCTTAAATATAAAAATTAATAAATCAAACATTAACCATAGAGTCTTATCAGTCTAGCTCTGATTTTACAGTATTTCAAGTGACTCTTTGTAGTTTAAGGTATTTGGTAAACTTGCCTCCTCCCATTCTCCAAGGGATGCTGTTTTTTTGTTATCTTTTAGAAGCTTAGGCATTAGAGCAATTTTAGGAGGAACATTGCTTCACATTAAGACATGTTATTTTGGCAGCTGAATGATTATGATCTCTGCCTTCATTCTGCGTATCTCAAGAACAGGCCAGTGCTTTGCTGCAGGTCAGTAGTCTTGGGCCTCAGCTTTTAGCTTCTGTTAGAACTAGAATTCTTCACTTTCTAAACTTAGGAGGCTGGAAAGAGCCTTGTGTACCTCTCTCAGGGCTGTGGGAATGTTCTTGCCTTTGTTGTGTGGTAGTTATAGCAGCCCATATCTCTGTATTGTCTGTCCTTCATGGTAGAAAGCAGAAAGCATAATCCAAGGGTATTATGAACCAAGGGGGCTTGGAAGAGCCACTTTGCAACACAATTCATCCCTGTTCCTGGCGCTGTGCAACTGAGAGAAGCATTACCTCCCCAAGCTGCAGGACAGGAAAAAGAGAATCCAGAAAGAAAAGTTACAGTAAAGACAGACTTCTAGAATCCATGTTCTGCTGCCTGCCAACTGTGTGACCTGGGAAAGTTATTTAATAGGTCATTCATCTGGTCAGTCAACAATTATCTATTTGACTTCTGTGCACATTGCCCTCAGCTTTGATCCCTCTGAATGTGCCTAAGATAAATGAAGACAATAATTTGTACTTTTATGATTATTATGAGGATTGAAAGTAATCTAATCTTTTTAAGTAACAACACAGTGGCTGGCACTATGTGGTCATCATCACTATTTTGAGTATTATAGGTTCCTTTGGGATCAGTATCTCCTAACATGGCAGATTCTCAAAGGCTCTCCTAGCTCATGGCTAACATTTCTGCTTCTTTATTTCCTTTCCTCTCTCTTCATCTTCCTCTTTCCTGCTTCCTCTTTGCCTTGTCTCTCTGTTCTCTCCTTCTTTTCTTTCATCTTCTGTTCTCTGCTTGATCTTTCTTCTATTGCCAGCTTCTTCCACCTCTCCCTTTATTTTCATTTGTGATTATAATTTTTTATGTATGTGTATAAAAGTACATTACTGTAAAGCACCTTATGAGTTCATAAACCCCACTTGATTTTGAGGGTAGGTGACCCCAAGGTTTTAGCATTTTCGAATTTCTGATGGAGTAAAAGCAGTTGTGATGCTCTATCTCAAATAATAAATAAGGTGCACATCTTAATTTATGGATATTTAATAAACATAAGAAATTGGGGAGGGGGTTAGGTTCCCAACAAAGGGCACTCCTAAAGGCCATCGGGTTTCATTTAGACTAGCCCATCTCCAGGAAGAAAGCCCCAGAGATAAGTGAGCAGTGCCTGAGCTTAACCCAACCTGGGTGAGCAGGTTGCCCAGGCTTAAAGAAACTTCAGCAGTGGCCCTCCTTTCTGGCCACCTGTTGCTTGCCCTTCTCTTAGCTGACATTTGTCATCCTAAGCCTTTCCATCTTTCTGCCTCAAACTTGTCACAGAATATCACACACCATGTGCACATCCGTTAAGGAGCTGATATTGATGACATGTCATGTCACTGTTTCATTCTATACCATGTTTAGGAAGCACACCTGAATCTCAAGGCATGGGAGTAAGAGGTGGAATTAGGCCCCTGGTTTCAGAAAGTACCTACACTCATTTGATGCTGAGTGACTGATGCTTTGTCTTTTGAAGTCTCTGGTTTCTCTCCCCAGCCTGAGAGCAAAGGACTCTTCTCAAACTCATTTATATTCTCAGTGTTCACCACATATCCAGTATTTGGTGATAATAATGGAAAAACTCTGTATATCCAAGGTACAACTTCACATCTCATGAACTCACTCACTCCCCTGAGATTGCATTACTATCTTCATGAGGGCAGGTTTCTAATGACCCACCTCATCTCAGCATGATTACACTGGTAATAAATTTCAACCTGAGTTTTGGCAGGAATAAAGCATACCAAAGTGTGTGGCTCTTCTTAGATGTAATCAAGTTAAGATAAGGTCATAATGGATTACAGTGAGCCCTAAATCCAATGACTGGTATCCTTATAAGAAGCCCATGTGAAGACAGACACACAGGGAGAATGCCAGATCAAAACTGAGGCAGAGATTTGTCTGATGCATCTACTTGCCAAGGCTTGCCAACAACCACCAGACGCTAGAAGAGAGGCAAGGAAGTTTTGCCCCTAGAGTTTTCAGAGAGAACATGGACCTGTTCATACTTTGATTCTGAACTTCTAACTTCCAGAAAAGCGATAATAAAATTCTGGGGTTTAAAAATTTTTTTTTCTTTAGGCACCATCCAAGGAAAAAGACAAAAATTCTGTTGTTTTAAACCATGCAATTTATGGTACTTTATTATGAGAGCCCAGGAAACCCATATGGATTTCAAGACAAACTACATATTGAAAAGGGGGAGAAAATCAGGAGGTATGATATTGCAAGCATATGTCCTTTTAATTGCACTCTGCTTTATTGCATCAGCAGACACTGCATTTTTTATAAATGGAAAGTTTGTGGCAACCCTGCATCAAGCAAGTCTATGGGCATCATTCTTTCAATAGGATGTGCTCATTTCATGTCTATACATTTTGGTAATGCTTGCAGTATTTCCAAATTTTTATTATTATATCTGTTATGGTGATCTGTGATCAGTGTGCTTGCAATGTTATAAACTTTTTTATTATTATGTCTGTTATGGTGATCTGTGATCAATGGTGATCTTTGATGTTATTATTGTAATTGTATTGGGTCACTGTAAACCACGCCCATATGAGATAACAAAGTTAATTAGTAAATGGTGTGTTCTGCCTCATCCACTGACCAGCTATTCCCCCTTGTCTCTCCCTTTCTTTGGGCCTCCCTCTTCCCCAAAACAACAATATTGAAATGAGGCCATTTAATAATTGCACCGTGGCCTCTAAGTGTCAGGTAAAAGAAAGACTATCACATCTCTTACTTTAAATCAAAGCCAGAAATGATTAAGTTCAGTGAAGGTGTGTTTAAAGCTGAGATAGGCCAAAAGATAAGCCTCTTTCACCTCTTGATGGCAAGCATATATGCTAACAATATGATTTACTGAGTAGTTTTGGCCCATTGTTGAGACCTACTGCTGAGAAAAAAAAAGATTCCTTTTCAAATATTACTGCTCATTGACAATAAGCTTGGTCATACAAGAGGTATAATGGACTTGTACAAGGAGATTAATGTTTCCTTTCCTGCTAACACAACTTGCATTCTGCAACCCATGAATTAAGAAATAATGTTGAGGCTCGGCACACGTAGCACAGTGGTTACGGTGCCAGCCACATACACTGAAGGTGGTGTGTTCGAACCTGGTCCAGGCCAGCTAATCAGTTGTAACAAAAAAATAGCCAGGTGTCGTGGGGGGTGCCTGTAGTCCCAGCTACTTGGGAGGCTGAGGCAAGAGAATCGCTTAAGCCCAAGAGTTGGAGGTTGCTGTGAGCTGTGATGCCAT